ACAGGAGAAATTATTAACAACTCTCCAACCAAAAGAAAAATATGTGATCCACTACCGCACTTTAAAACAAGTTGTCGCCAACGGCATTAAGCTTGTTAAAATTCATCGAATCTTACAGTTTAAGCAATCAACATGGCTTAAACCATATATAGACTATAATACGATGATGCGAACCAACGCCAAGAATGAGTTCGAGAAAAATTTGTTCAAGCTCATGAACAATGCGGTATACGGTAAAACAATGGAAAATGTCCGTAAACATGTCGACATTAAGCTTGTCACCCAATGGTTTGGCCGCTATGGAGCTGAAGCCCTTATTTCTCGCCCGAATTTCCATAGTCGAGCGATATTCGACGAAAATCTGGTTGCCATTGAACTGCGTAAAACCGAGGTACTACTCAACAAACCGATATATGTGGGGTTAAGTGTGCTCGATGTTTCCAAAACGCTTATTTACGATTTTCACTACGGGTATATGTTAAAAAAATACGGCGACAATTGTAAACTGATGTATACCGATACAGACAGTCTAATCTACGAAATTAAATGTAAAGATGTCTACAATGACATGAAAAATGACATCCAAAAGTTCGATACGTCAGACTATCCCGCAAACAACGTGTACGGCATTCCGCAAGCCAACAAAAAGATTCTCGGTCTAATGAAAGACGAATGTAACGGCAAGATCGTTACCGAATTTGTTGGCTTGCGGAGTAAGATGTACAGCGTACGGGTTGAAGGTGAAGACATTATTAAAAAAGCTAAAGGCATTAAATCCGGCGTTGTTAAAAAGAGTATTCACTTTGATGATTATGTAAAATGTCTGAGAGATTTTGACATTCAAACTTGAACGCAATATAACATTAGATCGCGGTTACACAATGTCGAAACTGTAAAACAGATAAAAGTAGCCTTAAGTCCGCAAGACGACAAACGATATTTGTTACCGGGGAGTACTGACACTCTACCGTGGGGACATTATGCGATCCCGAAAATCGACGAATGATTTTGTAAAACATGATTGTAAAAAAATAAAAGGTTTGTTAATAAATAATGCAATTATATACAATTTCCATGTGTTTTTATTTAAAAAATCCTTCCATATATACATAATAACATATGATTAAAACTTATATTAATTTAAATGTGCAAATCGCCCCTAGTAACTTAACGCAAATGCCAATCAGCCAGCAAAGCAATCAAAGATTAATGTTAGCGTAGAATCTCTTTATAAATCAAAACTACTTCCAACAACAGACCTTTACAATGCCAGTGCCAACTGATTTAATATTGATTCATTACTGATTCATTGTTGATTCATTATTGATTCATAGTTGATTCATTATTGATTCATTGTTGATTCATTGTTGATTCATTATTGATTCATTGTTGATTCATTATTGATTCATTGTTGATTCATTATTGATTCATTAATGATTCATAGTTGATTCATTATTGATTCATTGTTGATTCATTATTGATTCATTGTTGATTCATTATTGATTCATTATTGATTCATTATTGATTCATTATTGATTCATTGTTGATTCATTATTGATTCATTGTTGATTCATTGTTGATTCATTATTGATTCATTATTGATTCATTATTGATTCATTGTTGATTCATTGTTGATTCATTATTGATTCATTATTGATTCATTAATGATTCATTGTTGATTCATTATTGATTCATTGTTGATTCATTATTGATTCATTGTTGATTCATTATTTGATTCATTATTGATTCATTATTGATTCATAGTTGATTCATTGTTGATTCATTATTGATTCATTATTGATTCATTGTTGATTCATTATTGATTCATTGTTGATTCATTATTGATTCATTATTGATTTAATGTTAATTAAATTTGGCACTGGCAGTGTAAAGGTCTGTTGTTGGAAGTAGTTTTGATTTATAGAGAGGTTCTACGCTAACATTAATCTTTGATTGATTTGCTGGTTGATTGACATTTGCGTTAAGTTACTAGGGACGATTTGCGAATAATAGATTATACATTTGCTTTATCTTCCCACGTATTGTGAGAATTATCAAAGCCAAGCCATTTGACAAGAAACTTTGTTTCCACGTGTCTTGAGAATTTTTTCCACAAGATAAATATCTGAATATTTTACTTTAAGAAGTTCCTCTTCATAAAATCCTCCGCTGATGGGTTGATCCTGGTAATCCTTGAGCTTGTAAGTCACTGGTTGAGTTGATACAACTTGATCCACGGTGAATATTTCTGTTGTCCAATTGGGTGTATATCCTTTCTCAAAAACGTTTTTATATTTGCTTACTCGAACTTTGTCACCAATTTTATACTTTGGTCGTCTTAAAGGAATTTTTCTCAGTTTAGAGATCCTTTCTTTTAAAATTTCAACGTCTTCTGAAGTAACATCTTTAGGCTTCATTCCAATTGTTCTATGTTTTGTATCATTATAGTTGGAAATAAGAGTAGGCAATATATCATACCACTTGTAATTTCCTCGTAAACTAAATTGCATCCACATGTTTCTTTTTAGTGTTCGATTAAACCGTTCAACAATAGAAGCCTTCATATTACTGTATGTTGAGTAAAAATTTATTTTATACTTTTTCATTAATGCTTCAAATTGTGAGTTATAGAATTCTTTTCCTTTGTCACTATGCAAGTTTTTTGGTATACGTTTTTTAGCAAATATAGATTGCATTGCATGAGAAACATCTTTTCCATTTTTACTTTTTACTGGAACAGCCCAACCATATTTCGAAAATATGTCTATAACTGTTAGTAAATACTTGAAACCTTTATTTATTCTTGAATAAGGTATCATTTCTACTAAATCTGCTTGCCAGGTCTCATCAATATCACGCATTTCAACTCGCCGTCGAGGATAATTTTTTCTAGCCTGAGTATGAAGTTCATTCACTACTGTTAATTTTTTGTTGTTCATTCTCAAGAGCACTTAAGCGAGTATCCAGTTCACTAATAATTTCAGCTGTTCGATAAGATAAGTCTTGATTTATATCTTTTTCAAAATTTTTTATCTTTTCTGTAATAGAGTCTTCAAGAACTTTTAGAAATAAGTTGTTATTGTCCACCTCTGATCTAAGTGAGGCACTAGCTTCATACAATAAACGCACTTCGTGTTTTATCATATGTCGTACAAGTTTTAAATTGACAGCGTCGTTTTCTTCTTCAGCGTTAGCAAGATTACAGAGTTTTCTTCCTTCAACGTCAAAGTTACCTTGAGAATTAAGTTTAAAACCAACTCCAGGAGGCCCTCGTCTTGCTGATCCTCTTTGATTGAGAGGATGTCCGAACACGTCAATGCTCATTGTTGAAATGAATGATATTTGCTAAAACATATCTTAATATATAATTTTAGCTTCACGTAGTTCCTCAATGATAGACATGATTTCATTATTGTGACTAGGATTTCCAGCAGCTTCAGAAGCCATTAATAGTCTAAGACGGTCAACCAACTCATTCGGATCATCCCAATAGATATATTCTCGTTGAAAATTTCTGTTTGTAATCATAAATTTAGGTAATGAACTACCGCTTACAGATGGCTGTTTGGTAGGTGTTCGAGGGAAGAATTGAGATATAAAATTCAAATACTTGTAACTCTTATCTGTACGTATAGATTCAGAGGAACTGTACTTCTTTTTGTGTGCATTAGTAGCAATCAGAATCTCTTTATAGTTTCTTTCATCAGCTTCACTTATAAACGATCTGGTAGGTTTACTTTTGAATAAAAGTTCAAGTAATCCAGGTGTTTGAAGATATCGTTTATCACCAATTTTAACAATCTGATCTTCAAGAGTTATTGGTGAATCACCAATCATAAGTGATCCATCACTTAGCTTACGTATGCCGTATGTTGAATCTAAACATTGCTTTCTATTATGATTTAATAAGTATAGAAATTTATTACTTATTTTATCATCATCTGGAGATTTTTCAGTTTCACTTTCATAGTTTATGCTATCATCCTCTTTCTGCTCTTTCTTTTCAACCTTAACATTTTCAATCTTGACATTTTCATGTTCACTGTCTGTCAAGTTGATAATTTTTTGTAAGGGTTGAATTATCGGTTTGAAAGTTTCATTCAACACATTTTCAGCTTCTTCTTTTCCTAATTTTAACACACGATGTTTTCGCCTAATTGCCTCACTAGCTTTAGCAATTTGATGAAGATATTCTTTTTCTTTATGAAACATGTTATTATTACAAGGTTTCATATTGAACTAACAATATTTTAGAAATGATCTTATATTTATAGTGTTACAAAGCTATCAAATCCTTTTCTATATCTTCCATCATTTAAATCAGAATCCTTATCAATTACTACAAATCCATATTTGTCTGAATTCCAACATGTTGAACATAATTCTCGAAATTGATTAAATGTCATGTCAGTATTAACATGATCATCATAAACATGTCTTAAATTTTTCTCATCTTGACGAAAAAGAACTAGTAAATTAACATTATCACGTACTAAATGTTTAGGAACGCGGGCATATGTTTGACAAAGATAAAAAGAATCAACATCAACATGTCTACCCATGCAAAAGAATGCCCTTACATTATCTTGCTTCTCGCAAGCAATATCATCAAATATAAATATTGAATTCCGTTTTGCATCTTTAGGAGTAATGACTTCTTCATGCTCACTAAATGGTAAATACTCTACTCCTTCAACATTACTTACAACTTGTTCCAAGAATTTATACTTGGGTTGATGTAGAGACTTTGAGTACAAGTAAATATTATCAAATCTAAGACCATTAGGATGTAAAATTAAAGAAAGCAGTACATTTGTCTTTCCACAATTTGATGGTCCACAAAAAATAGCTCGAATACTACCTGATAACAAGCTACCATGACGCTTCACTTTCTTGTCTTGTTGTTCAACAATCGAGTCTAGATTGACGACTGGCAGCTTGTGAAGTTGTTCCTTGAACCGCATCCTGATTTAGACTGCCGCTAAAGGTATAAATACAGCGCTTATATAGCTCACAAGTCATTCTAATTTTAACTTTCACAGAGTAAGGTATGATTATATATCATCACTCTCGAGGAAAAGGTTTAATTAATAAACTTATAAACAAGTTGCCATTTGAATTACATTTGCCAGGTTATCAATATTGTGGACCTGGTACAAAGTTAGCAAAACGTCTAGACCGAGGTGATCCAGGTGTTAATCCATTAGACGCCGCTTGTAAAGAGCACGATATTGCTTACTCGAAAAATCGAGAAAACGTTGAAAAAAGAAACGCTGCTGATAGAGTATTAGCTGACAAAGCGTGGCAACGTGTATTTGCACCAGACGCACGATATAGTGAAAGAGCTGCAGCTTACGCAATAACAAACGCTATGAAAGCAAAATCAAAATTTGGAATGGGAGTAAAGAAGAAGAAGATAAAATCAAAGAAGCGAGTAAATCTTAGGAAAATTGTGGATGCTGCAAGAAAATCAATAATTCCTGGTAATGATGCTCGATCAACAATAAAGTCAGCTATTGAAACAGCTCGAAAAGCTGTAAGGAATGCAGGTGGTAGAGAAAAAGTTTTAACACCTCGTATTCTACCTGTGCCATCAAAAGTTGGTGGTCTGTTACCATTAATTCCAATTTTTGCTGGGCTAAGTGCACTTGGAGCACTTACTGGGGGAGCTGCTGGTGTAGCAAAAGCTGTTAATGATGCAAGTGCAGCAAAAGAGCAGTTAAAGGAAGCTCAGCGTCACAATAGAGAGTTGGAAGCAGTTGCACTTGGTAAAGGTCTACATTTAAAACCATACCGACAAGGGTTGGGACTTCATTTAAAACCATACGTTAAAGGACAAGGTATTAAGAGACAATGTACGAAAAAAAAAGTTTAAAGCTACCTCAACGAGCACTTACTGATCTAGATTTACTTAAATATGCTAAAGAAATGAAAATTCCTCATTTTCGAGGAGTTTTTATGCGAAATGAACTACCTATAAGAGATCCTCGAAAAAATGAATCCGCCATTATTAATTTAGATGATAAAGATGGTTCTGGAACTCATTGGGTTGCATATAAAAAAGTTAATAATAAAGCAGTATACTTTGATAGTTTTGGAAATCTTCAACCACCCTATGAACTTGTCAATTACTTAGGTTACAATACTTTAATACAGTATAATCATCAAAATTATCAAGATTATAATAGCTTTAATTGTGGTCATTTATGTCTAAAATTCTTATGTGGACAGCTTGAAATAACTCAAAAATATATTCTATATAAGTGATTGTAAGTCATTGCAGCTAATCAGTATATAAAAAGTCATCAACATGGAAGAATCTTTTACTCTGACTATCTCAGGCAATTCATCTGTCCTGGAGGCAGAATATTTTCCTCCGATAGAATTATTATCTAATAAAAATTATGTACTTGGCTTAGTTGAATTACTAACCTTCAATTCAATTCCTAATATTGATCAAGGTAAAAATAAATTTTATATTGGTGATAAAGTGATTACTATACCCCCTGGAAGCTATGAAATTGAAGATATTGAAAAATATATTCAAAACTCTATTGAAAATGGATCTGAAATTGTAAGAATCAAACCTAACAATAATACTTTACGTAGTGAAATAACAAGCAGCCTTGAAGTGAGTTTTGAACAAAACGATTCAATTGGTAAATTATTAGGATTTACTCCACGAATATTGACAGCTAATATACCTCATACGTCAGATGTACCAGTAGCCATTCTTAAGGTAAATGCTATCAGAATTGAATGTAACATTACTACTGGTGCATACATAAATAATAAAAAGGTACACACAATTCACGAATTTTTTCCAATTGTACCAGCTGGATATAAGATTGTGGAAGTTCCATCTCACGTCATTTACCTTCCAATCGCCGTGAAGACAATACATAATATTCAAATAAGAATCGTTGATCAAGACGGAGACTTAATAAATTTTAGAGGTGAAACTATAACAATTCGATTACACGTTAAATCAACGTAATGGGAATTGTATTTCATAGAAAAACTGGTGGAAGCTATATAAATGAGTTACCATGTCAGAAGTCATTCATTCCTCAATCAGTTCGCAAGAGACTAACATCTCAGAACATACTATTTCTGAAGCAGCTCGGCCTAAGAGTTTATCAAGAAAACAAGGGAAAAAATTAATTTTTCACATACTTTTTATTTGTTGTTGTAACAAAAATGAAAGAGATTTTAAACATTCTAAGTCCAGTAAAATTTGATAATTCTGTGGCACACTATGAGATTCATGCACATCAACCATACGTGTCATCAGCATTTAATAACAGTGACGAGATTCGAATTGCAGTTCAACATCAAGACTTGTACATTCTTCCCTCTAAAAGTACTCTACACGTCACTGGAAGAATTGTTAAGCCTAACAATACGCTTGTAACTAATACAAAGTTAATTAGCAATGGTATTTCCTACCTGTTTAATGAGATTCGTTATGAATTAAATGGTGTTGAAATTGATCGCTCCAAAAATGTTGGTATTACAACCACAATGAAAAATATAATTTCTCAAACACCTAATCAAATGATTTACTCTGAAAATGCTGGTTATCTACCTTATGATGATGATGATAGCAGAGTAACAAATGATGCTGGATATTTTGATGTAAATATTCCACTAAGTATGATTATTGGTTTTGCTGAAGACTATCGAAAGATTGTTGTAAATGCAAAACATGAACTTATTTTAACAAGATCTCGTACTGATCTAAATGCTGTAGTAAACATTGAAGCAGCAGAGCGTGAAGAATTTAAAATTATTATTAATAAAGTTGAATGGTTGATTCCATATTTAATGGTAAATGATCGACAAAAAATTGAATTATTGAAATTCATTGAAAAAGACTCACTTATAACAATGAGTTTTAGATCATGGGATTTGTATGAATATCCTATGATTCCTGCCACTCAAAAGCATGTGTGGACTGTAAAAACTTCAACACAAGTTGAAAAACCTCGATATGTTATTCTTGGTTTTCAAACAAATCGAAAAGAAGATCAAGAAAGGTATGCAAATTTATTTGATACCTGCAATCTTCTCAATGTTAAACTTTTCTTAAACTCACAATACTATCCTTATGGAAATTTAAATTTAAATTTTACTCAAAACAAATTTTTCATATTATATGAAATGTATTGTAATTTTCAACCGTTCTACTATGGAAAAGAATCTGAACCTTTATTAACTAGAAATAACTTTAAAGATTATGCACCATTGGCTGTTATTGATTGCTCAAAACAAAACGAATTTCTAAAACAAGCATCTGTAGATGTGCGATTGGAATTTGAAGCAAGTGAAAATTTTCCAGCCAATACAGCTGCATATTGCCTTATAATTCACGACCGCATTATACAGTATACACCAATCAGCGGCGTTGTTAAAAAAGTAACGTGATTGGTAGAAATAATGACCAATCGTACACGACATCGGTAGTGGGGGTATTTGGAGTGGTGGGGGAAAGGCTATAAAGAGAGCGTCTCTCTAAGGCTTGAGCCATTATTCTATTTCAGATACCATGGCGTACGTCGTAGATATTCAGTGCTTCAAGAGACCATACAACGAGTTTGTCATCAAAGAGTTGGCGATTCTACCACTTCAACAAGATGCTCATCCATTGGTCTACCTCTTCGAGCCGCCATATGCCTGGAGTCGATTGCCTGCAAGATACAAATGTGAGAATCGATGGCTTACAAATAATTATCATGGTATCGATTGGGCTGCTGGTGACGTATGTTATGAAGAATTACAACCTATAATAAAAGAAGTACTAATAGGTACACCTACCGTTTATGTAAAAGGTTTAGAAAAACAAAAATGGTTCGAAAAATATACATTGAATGTGTTTAATTTAGATGATTTTAAATGTCCGTCGCTAAAAAGTTTAAGTGTAGACAGTTCATCTACATGTACAAATCACACACGTAGCTTTAGCAATTGCGCTGTTAAAAATGTATGTAATCTACGAAATTGGTTGATACAACCATCGAATGTACTACGAAATAATATAGAAAATAATGATGAAGTTGACAATGATTGTACATTGAAAGATTTTTATAATGATTGTGAAAATTTCCTATATAATGAATAAATGTATTAAATGTCTATTAATGTTTACTTTAATTAACCTTTCCCTATCCTATTATCTTTATTACACATGTGTAAAACTATTAAACACGTTAAAACTAGTCTAGACTTGTCTTATGACGTCACAAAGTGGGCGTGGCTCAATAATAAAAAGTGGGGGTATTTTGCAAACATAAAAAGCTATTGCGCATGCGTAAAAATAGTGGTATGGGTACTGCGCATGCGTAAAAGTAATGGTGGGGATAATGTGTGATATTTGGGTATAAATAGAGGCACCTTGAGCTGTAAAGCTCATTCTGTTTTGTAACTTCACAAACTATTATCTCTAAGAAAAGATGGATCTAACCAAAATCAACGCCATTGGTCGCATGGATGCTTTCCTACCTACGAAGCCGCTTTCCGAGCTGACTCCTGGACATAAGTATCCTATAACGAAGATCCAGGTTGTCAACACCAGGTATGGAGTCAAGGTCGTCGTTGAGGTGGATAAAAAGTTCAATACATTCCTGCCTTCAAGATTTGTACCAATGTTCACTGATGACTCTATATGCTTGGATCAGATGCAAGAAGCTATTAGTTCTGGACAATTACGGCTGAAGTATATTGGTGGTCCATACAACCATATTGAATTTAAAATAAAACAAGTGTAAATATTGTATATTGAATGTAAAACAAGTGTAAATATTGTATATTGAATATAATAAATGTATGAAATGTTATTAATACTGTATTTAATTAAATACCTTCATTAGTATTACGTTAGATAATAAGGTTTACATTTTAAGGTAATGTTTAATAAAATAGATTTTAAGGTTATGTTTAATACAATATATTTTAAGGTTATGTTTAATATAATAGATTTTAAGGTTATGTTTAATATAATAGATTTCAACAACTTTTACAAGCGCCATCTATTAAAATTTTAATAATCTTATTAGTGTAAACAATATGGCGCCATCTTTGCCCGCGAAATACAAACGATTCAGTTGTGGCGCCATCTCTCGGCACCGCACTCTGTCGGTAAAACAAAATGGCGGCTCACTGTTTAAGCAGTTTGAATTTATTAAATAAAATTTTTAAATTTCCCGACAGGCAGGTTTGAATTCGCTAGTGGCGCCATCTGTCGGCGGTAGTCAGAACTAAAAAAATCGGTCGGTAAAACAGAGAACCCTTTGTAAGCCACTTGGAAGTTTAAAAATAAAATTTTAAATTTCCCGCCAAGCAAGTTTGGAATTCGCAAGTAGCGCCATCCAGCGGTGGCAGCAGGAACTACACTCGGTCGGTAAGGTAGAACACCCCTTTAAACCCACTTGAAAGTTAAAAAATAAAATTTTAAATTTCCCGCCAAGCAGGTTTAAATTCGCTAGTGGCGCCATCTATCGGTGGCAGCCGGAACTAACTCGGTCGGTAAAACAGAGCACCCCTTTTAACCCACTTAAAGCTATGGAAGTAAAAATTTAAATTTCCCGCCAAGCACATTTGAATTTGCTAGTGGCGCCATCTAGCGGTTTAAGTTTAAATTAACTCGGTCGGTAAAACAGAGAACCCCTTGTAAGCCACTCGAAAGTTTGAAATTAAATTTTTAAATTTCCCGCCAAGCAAGTTTGAATTCGCTAGTGGCGCCATCTAGCAGTGGCAGCAGGAACTACACTTGGTC